TAAAAAAAAAAAAAACCTGTGGCTTAAAAGGGGAAGTGGTTTTGGCAGGTGGATATAAATGAGGAGGAAGTGGCTTGGAAATTTCAAACAGGGCTTTTTTCCTTCCCACCACGTTGAGGAAAGTCCTCTGATACTAAAAAAGCAACATGGGAGAAAGCCGAGGAATTGTTAAGTAAAAAAGGGATAACTTTCATTGATGCCAACTGCCCTGTTGGATGTAAGAATATCATCTAACATTTATTTTCCTCCTTGTGCAAGGGCTTGGTAACATAACTGGAAAAAAAAAAAAAAAACCACCACCCATTTTGACGTTTTATAAATACACTCATTAAGTTCTAGAAACAAAAGGTATTAAAAGCCTATGAGAGAAGAGATTCCTAGAGAAATTTTCAGGTAACTGTCTCTTTCAAATAGACTAACACGGCAGTAATCCGCTCACAGAGGATGAGCCAACAGCCCACTCCGTGTGAGTGCAAGGCGCAAGAGCCCCGATTGCCTAAGTCCTCTCCCATCTCTTCCTCCGAGCTCCCCACCCCACCCCCGCCGCCACCATTTAAGATGTCTGCTTCCTGGTTATCTACTTGCAACAGGTCAATTTGAGACTCCACATGTAAGACCTCCAGAAAGTGGGTAGGACAGTGACTCAGGGCACTAACAGTCATCCCTAGAGAAGGTTACTCCCTATCAGTCACCCTGGCTTATATTTGGGACTGATCAGGGAAGAGAAAATGCTAACAACCCCCTTTATCAAGCTGGACAGCCTGGTCCAGGTCAAACTATACTGATAAATTGGGAAACAGAAGTCTTGATTAAGAGCGAGTTTGTTTTCACTTCTCATCTGATGGGAGTTGAAACACATCTAAACAGAGAGGTGAGGGGGAGTTAGCTTACAAAGGCACCCAACGTGGCGCCTGGGTGGCGCAGTCGGTTAAGCGTCCGACTTCAGCCAGGTCACGATCTCGCGGTCCGTGAGTTCGAGCCCCACGTCAGGCTCTGGGCTGATGGCTCAGAGCCTGGAGCCTGTTTCCGATTCTGTGTCTCCCTGTCTCTCTGCCCCTCCCCCACTCACACTCTGTCTCTCTGTCTCTCAAAAATAAATAAACATTAAAAAAAAAAAAAATTCAAAGGCACCCAACGTTGTTTTGATTATCAGCCAGTTTGGGCTGCAACATATTAAGTATCATTCAAACCGAACATTCTTCAAAGGTCCTGGTATAAATTAGTAAGAATTGACTTTTGCAGCCCATCATGTTTGACCTCCCAGCAAGGGTGTCTCCGACGGCCTTAGCCCTTCTTCACCTACGTGTCAACGGAATCAGTTCTTGTGGGCCCAGGACTTGTCTTGATTTCTTTCAGTGCCACATCTGCTTCTCCTTCCTGTCAAGGCAGAAATGAAAGGGATTTGACGTGATATGTCTGCGAGAAAAATGCTTTCCCAGAAGAGAAAAAGGCAATAGATCAAGAATTTTGATGGCATGCCACCCAAGGAATCTACCAACATTTGAATGTGAGATGTTTAAATTAGGTCACTGAAATGGAACAGAACTTTACCCTTCCCTCACCCTGCACACCCTGTCAGGATTATAAATATCTAGGGCCACGGCGTGAAGGTTGGTCTCTCATCCCGAGCAGTCAACCTGACCCCAAACACACGAAAGCTTATCTCCTCCTTCTCCTTGGCAGTTCCCTTCTTTCCCAAATAAAGGTCACACGGAGCTAGTGACAACTCCACACACCTTCCCTATACAGCCCTTTAAAATGCACGATGTCGGAACTTGCTGAAGCCACGTTGAAAAAGAGGCTGCTTTCTGTGGACAAGGCTCACACAAAGCACAAGGTTGGCTCCTATCAGAAATTCATACACACCGTGGGCCGTTTAAGGGAAGAAGAAGTCTAAGGCCCGTTAAATAATTTGAAAGACACGTATATTCCAATGAACTTGCAGGAAAAATCTTCCGAAAATGCACAAAGATAGTTAATTCTGATTGTGCACATTCTTCCTAAATCTTAGGCAGCGTTTTCTGGTTCACAGAAACAAGGCAAGAAAAGCACATTTACGCTAAAAATAACTGTCACTATCAGATCAGTGAAGGAGCATATTATGCTAACCACGTGCCCTAAAGGAAGAAGCCTCATTTGGAAACTTCTGATATGCTCTTGGGACTTCCTGAATTTTGCCAGTTATTTGCAGAAGGTGAAAGCTGTTTGATCAAATTTGTTTCATAATCTTTGGTCATCTGCAGAAAGGGCACTCTACTCTGGCAGAGCGTGCTTTCCACTTGGTATTTTATTTATCATTTTGTTAATGTTTATTTATTTCCTAGAGAGAGACAGACCAGACAGACAGACAGACACAAAGCGTGAGCAGGGAGGGGCAGAGAGAGAAAGTGAGTCACATGGTCCGAAGCAGGCTCCAGGCTCCAAGGTGTCAGCACGGAGCCCAACGCGGGGCTTGAACCCACGAACTGTGAGATCATGACCTGAGCCGAAGCCGGATGCTTAACCAACTTGAGCCACCCAGACACCCCTCCATTTGGTATTTGAATTCTCCTGATTTCAGCTGCCATTAGTGCACCCAAAGATTTATTTGGGAGCATGTTTGGCAAGGTTATTGAGAGTCATCTCCCCATCCTATTACTCTTTAGGGCAGCAAATGAGTTGGAAATCAGAGATAGTCGTGCATTGCACTAGTAATTCTGACACGCCCAGAAGTTTAGCCCTTTACGAGTTCCCCACTACTTATTTCCAAGGTACGTTTTTCTCTCTCAGAGACACGATCTCTTTATCAGATGTACGGTTTGGCAAAGCTCAAATGCCAGTGTGTATCACAGAGGACCTCGTCCTTAGGTGTTCTTCTCCCTCATTAATCCATCTTTTTTAGCAGCGATGAAGGGGAGGCCCTTCCGTGGTTCATCTACCTGCGCTGCTCTTCAGCCAGACCACGTGCATACCCAGATGTGGCCACAACAGATGCCACTCATGTGCTCAGGAACAGGCTGGCACCTGCCACTTCACTGTGTCACTGAGCTCACTGCATTTTCGGTTCCACAGAAATGTGTCAGACACTGTGGGCTTTAAACTCCGCTCTTGGAGGCACACGGGCAGCTGCTATTAGAGGTGGGGGCGAAGTCAAGGTCGACCCTCACCCATAACTCCAGTGGCTCTGCTCTTTTCTCCACTTCTTGTTTTTAACAAACCACAGTTCCTTGTAAGACTCGTTGGAAAAGGAAGGTTCTATTATTTTAAAGACATCAGTTTCCTGCATCGGATCATGATTCTACTCACCCAAGGCCAATGCTGACCACCCCTAAGGACCTAGCTTGAAAAAGTTGTTTTGTTTTTTTGTCTGATCTGTCACAAAATGTCTGATTTGTCAGGACACATGGAAAGAAAAAAAAACTACCTCTTTTGTCATAAAAGGTAATCAACATTCTTCCATTGCAGCTACGATAAATCTCACGAGCATTATGTTATGCTTATAAACAGGAGCCAATTTATCTTGGCGATGGCGATGCTGAAATTCCCCCACCATCTAGGTGTCTACGTGAGGTTTTTTGTAATTTGCTTAAAACAAAATCAAAACCAGGACACTTACAGCCATCCTGATTTCAACAAAGGAGTCTTCTGAGGGGCCGCCTGAGTTCAGCTTGAGCTGTAGTTCAGACACGATGCCCAGCAGATCTGCCTTTTCAGCCTGAAGACGGGCCACCTGGGTCTTCAGCTGTTCCATTTCCTGGTCTGCTTCTGCCTTGGGGACTTTGGGGTCCCCAGTGGGGTCCTGGAAATGACGAGAAGCCAAGTGAGTCAGTGAATCAAACGAACACCTGGTCGTCAAACTCAAGTGTCCCCACACCCCACGGCAAGACAATTATGCTTTATGGTAGAAAATTCTAGCCTTTTCTTGGAGATGTATTTTTACGTAAATTTTAAAAAAGAAAAATTTACATAATTTTATTACATTCAAATAGAAAATTAAAATAACCTCATGACAAAAAGGAAAGACTTCCTCAGCACACTGGAATAATCTGATATGAAGATACCCAGTCAGACTTCGACGATGGTAAACTTGTAAGTTGTAGTCCAAAAATCTCAGGAAATAAGGGCATCAACCTCTTATCTTTTGTTCTTCCTACAAATGCAGAACCCCCCACGCCCCCATACTTGTCATGTATAGTTAGAAGCCAAAGCATCAAGACGTTTCATTACTTGACACATAAATGGCCAAAGACAACAAAAGTTCCAAAATTCTCCAGGGCATGCAGGCTGGCTGCTATAATACACTACATTGGTGTTTTCAGGTTGCTAAAAGTAAGCCTGGTGAGAAATAAAAACTGAAAATTCAGAGGCTGCTACCAAAGGTAAAAAAAATTAACTTCTGGCCTATATACACATTAGTAATAAATATTCACCTTTCACTAATATCAAGTATGTGCTGCTTTCCTCTTGTTGTAATTATTGCACGTGGCATAAGAGAGAGACCCTGTTTAGATGCAATGCTTGCACTTGGGAGTAAGGAAAACAGATTTCAGTCCACACCCTGCTAATCGCTCTGTGTGCGGCCATGAGTGCATTCACTTAATGTCTTGGCCTATTTTGGCCTCTTTTGGTTTTCTTTTTCTTGGGTTAGAAAGGAAGATGGTGGCACCAAATGGTTTCGTTGGTCTCTTCCAGCTGTGACCTTGTAGACCTCTCTGGTTTCCTCCTCAGGAAACCTTCATTGCTTCTATACACATGGGACCACCAGAAATACATACCTGAGATCATCAGAGATTTACAACACATCAGAAAGTTCTCTCTCTCTCACACACACACATACACACACACCCCATGTCTCTAATAGATTTCCTGAGGAACTGTAAACCGACCCAGAGGCTCTGAGTGGAACCAAGAAAGCACCAGAAAGAATACATACGGATGATAAACCAGCTGGTCCAAGGAATAGTAGAAAGTGGAAGGAAACGGATTAATATGCAACAAGAGAGTGCCCCTCACACCAGTGAGATCGTGCTGTTCCTTCCCCAGGGGCCTTCCCTTGCCATGAAACCACCACAGGCCTGAGAGAAAAGAACTAATGGTGAACCTGAGGAGTCAGGCATGCAAGGAATGGTTACCAGCCTGTGCATCCTGTCTCGGTCATGACCCGTCCCAAAGAAACATAAATGTGCAGGGACAGAAACAATCAAAGGAGAGGCACTCTTGGCCTGGAACCAGGAGGTAAGCAGGTGAGGGTGAGGCCACGCCCTATTAGGAATCTTCACATTTTCCTGTTGGACCCGTCTGAGGACATCTTCTAAATGGATTTTTAAAACAATCTTGGCATAAAGGGTAGGAAACAGAGTTTTAACCAAGTGTCTGAGGACAAGGGATATAAAGTCACGATCCTGGAATCTCAGACTGTCAGGTTAATTTCCTTTTTTGCAAGGGTGAGGATCTCTTCACTATCCTTGGGCAATTCGGAATCTACTTATTTGGCCGTAAAACCTTGTAAAATAACATGTTAAATCTCTTCATTTTACTAATGAGACCCTTTCCATTCCCTTCCTGGACTACAATGCGTACATTTTATTCTCTCTGATCAACCCCAACTCCATCATTTGTTAACGTCTTTTATTACTGTTGAGTGCCTGCCATTGACTTTCATGCAACACAATGACTCTACATCTTGTGTGCTTGTATCATGTCTCCATCACGCTGTCCTGGAAATCTGCCCAGGTGAACATGCCATTTCATAATCCTAGAAGAAACATCCATCTAATGACCTCTGCCTCACAATCTGTACAATTAAAAGTTAAAAAGTTCTCTGTACAGATGATTATAATTTATGATTCCATGAAATTGGACAGAATAATAACTCAGCCTCACCCTGACAATCAGAAGGCAGATCTCCAAAGGAAATTCCCTACTCCTCTTTCCTTGTGTGGCACAGAACACGTGAGAGGCTCTGGTGGCTAGAGGGGACTCCCTGGAGAACCAGCAGCGAGGATGGGTCAGCAAGAGTGAGAAAAGTCAGAGGCTCTGAGGGCTTCAAGTCAGGAAAATGAGAGCCTAAATTTTACAAATCACCTCAACTGGTGCATGAAAAAAAACAGTAAAGAGGAGGCAGGGAAGCAATAGGCAGGCCTGGGAGGCGTATTTTGGGGGGAAAAGCTGATGACCAAGGGTTTTTGTTTTTGTTTTTGTTTTAATTTTTTTTTCAACGTTTTTATTTGTTTTTGGACAGAGAGAGACAGAGCATGAAAGGGGGAGGGGCAGAGAGAGAGGGAGACACAGAATTGGAAACAGGCTCCAGGCTCTGAGCCATCAGCCCAGAGCCCGACGCGGGGCTCGAACTCACGGACCGCGAGATCGTGACCTGGCTGAAGCCGGATGCTTAACCGACTGCGCCACCCAGGCGCCCCCAACCAAGGGTTTTAAAGAGCTGTAAGTATCTCTGTCCAAGCACCCAAGTCCTGTGTCCCAAGGACTCACTTCTGAGTCTTGCTTATAGCTTGTTTAATCTGATCTTCTGCATTGCAAGAAGCTGTCCAGAGCTCCAGCTCTGTTCTCAACTTCTTCCAATAGTGGGACGTTTTAGGAAAACCCATAGGTAGACTATTTCAAGCAAAGTGCTTCTGGAAGCTTCTTTCTGAGCTCCAGTGCTATAGTCCCCAGCAGGCTGATGCCAGCTGTCAGCTCACATCCCAAAGACCAAGGAGGAAAACAGTGTAAGATATTTTCTTCCAGAGAGTAGAAAATACATTCATATATCCCACCAGGTGATCATGTCTTCAGAGCATTCTACCTCGAAAATATTTTGACACTGAGAGACTTCCCCCAAAGTAGTGACTTAATGCTCTTTGAACTGTAAGACAAGTTCAAGCATCAGATGTGAAGAGTCTGATCAGCAATGAATCGTTTCCCATACACACATAAGTTTATGAAAGCAGAATGTCCACGCTGTCCCATGAGCAGGGATTGAGGAGTAAAGCACTGACCTAAACCACAATATTTCTCTCAACAGCTCTTCATTCTTTAGATTATTCCAGCTTGTCCTCTTCTCATTACTTTCTTTCCTTTATCTTTCTTTCTTTGCACTCTTTACCCAAGAAATTAGAGGTCAATGGAGCTCAAGGTATCTCAAGGAAATCACTGATGCCTCAATTCCATCCTCCCTGAGCCAAACCAGTGCTCCATCCTTCTGAGGGCTGCTAAGTTCAAGGTTGGGGAGAAAGTGACGAGCAGATGTCCATCCTAATGAACAATGTCCAGTGAGCCTTAGAATATGGGCAGACGCTTCAAGTGTGTTCTGACACAACCTGTTTTCTTCCACTCACATCTTTAACATCCACTCCCAGCTGGGGGCACTTTTCTCCGGTTCTCTGGGTCGATGAAAATGTAGCAACCCTACAGCCTCCTGCCACAACATGATGTGTCGCACCATTTTCCAAAAGTAAATGTAAAATGTAAATTGAGGAATCTCTATGGTAGACTGGGGGGAAGGACAAGATCGGTAAGCAAAACTTCCCAGCCATAGATTTTGTTTTTTTAATGCTTATTTATTTTTGAGAGAGAGAGGGAGAACGCCGAACGTGCGCAGGGGAGGGGCAGAGAGACAGAGGGAGACACAGAACCTGAAGGCGGCTCCAGGCTCCGAGCTGTCAGCACAGATGCAGGGCTTGAACTCACAAACCATGAGATCATGACGTGAGCCAAAGTCGGACGCTTAACCAACTGTGCCACCCAGGTACCCCCCGAATCATAGATTTTTTTTAATGCAATTTTATATCAAAGACAGAAACTAAAAGCTAACCCTTGGGTGGTTCTAGGCAGAGGTTATCTGCACCATCTACAATGAATACAAAATACTGATTTATAACTACAACCTTCTTTTGACTATAATCACTATGGTCAAAGCTGTACAAACTTCCTTGCCCCAATAGAAATCATACACGACCCTTGAAGTTGCAACCAACCTTCTCAGCAAGAACAGTATTTTCTTTCTTTTTATTTATTTTTTTCAAATGTTCATTTATTTTGAGAGAGTCCCAAGCAGGCTCCACACCGTCAGCGTGGAACCTGACATGGGGCTCAACCCCATGACTCCTGGGATCATGACCTGAGCCGAATCAAGAGTTGGATGCCCAACTGCCTGAGCCATCCAGGTGCCCCAATTTTTTCAAGATGATACAAAACACTTGTCTAGATGGGACGCCTGGGTGGCTCAGTCGGTTGAGGGTCCGACTTTGACTCAGGTCATGATCTCGCTGTGATTTCGAGCCCCACGTCGGGCTCTGTGCTGACAGCTTGGAGCCTGGAGCCTGCTTCAGATTCTGTGTCTCCCTCTCTCTCTGCCCCTCCCCCGCTCATGCTCTGTTTGTCTGTCTCTCTCTGTCAAAAATAAATAAACATTTAAAAAAAATTAAAAACAAAACAGAACTCGTCTAGCCTAAACCGTAAAAAGTTTGATCTAGAAGTCTAGATGAGTAAGATTCCACTCTAAATGTAACTAAAAGAAAATAAAATCGTAACAGATCAGTCTGCTCACTCACCTCAAGGGGGCTTTCTGTTTTCCCTTTTAGTTTTCTGAGTTCTTCCTTTAATTTTTCATTTTCATGACTCAAAGCCACGAGACGCTCTTTGGCTTCCTTGCTCTGTATCTCAAAAAATAGGCGTTCTTCCTTCTGTTTCTCTGTCCAGGCTGAAAGCTCTTCAAATCGCCCTTTCATAGCCTGATTATTCAGCTTCATGGCTTCTGTAGGGGGTTCAGAGTGAGAGTGTCGCGCATCAGACTTGACTGGATGAATCCCACCTCCCTCTGGACTACCCTCATCCTGTAGCTCGGAATCCAAAGAAGCCGTACTTGGCCTGGGCCCCAGGCTCAGCAGCAAAAAGACTGTAGCAAGGTGAGTGGTTTTTGTTTCCAGATAGGACGAGGGGGTCTAATGTTGTTTCTCGTCCTCCAAAGACTCCAGAAAACAAAACTGGTTTGGGTGCCTCTGCTACAGCCCACGTGGTAGGGCACAGCCTCCAACACCGGTCCTGCCAGAAGCCACGGCGTGAGACACTGGGATGCTCTCTGTGAACAAGGGCATGTTTAGGACTAACTCTGGAATAATAGCAGCGTTTCTCCCTGTTTCCTTCTAAACGGGCTAAATGTCACTGTGCCATTTCCCTGAGGTACGTAAGTGCTTTTTATTCTTACCTGCATCCCGAGGTAAACATTGGCAGCAATGTTAGCCTTACCAAAAGCTAAACTCTGGGCTCTCTCTCCAGGTAGTGCAACGGAGAGAAGGGAGCTCACCATCAAGGCTTTTCGCAAAGAGAGGTGGTTCACGAAGGCCCAGGGTGGATGGAGAACATGGGGGCCGGCGGCCGCTCACCTTTGAGCTGATGGTTCTCAGTCAGGAGCTCCTTCATCTGCTGTAGCAGTTCCTCTGGTGTGAACGTGTCCAGATTTGGGTGGGCCAGGTTGGGGGGTCCATTTCCTGTGGTCTCACTGGGGCTGTCCCCCTTTTCAGTCAGGCAGCTAAGTGGTTGGTGGGACATGGCAGAAGGACCTACGGAAAAGTCACAGGCTGAAAACAGAGCTGTCTTCCCTCTGCGAGGGGTCCCCACGAGCCCCGCAAATCCACCAGCAATTGCTGGTGAGTTTTCCAAAAGGTGCCTACTTCCCCTCCAATTAGATTTTGGACATTTTTGATTCTTCCTTTAAAAAAAATTTTTTTTAATGTTTATTTTTGAGAGAGACGAGGGGGGGAGAGGGAAAGGGGAGAGGAGAGGGAGAGGGAGGGAGAGGGAGGGAGAGAGGAGGGGAGAGAGAGAGAGAGAGAGAGAGAGAGAGAGAAAACAAGTGGGGGAGAGGCAGAGAGAGAGGGAGACACAGAATCCGAAGCAGGCTCCAGGCTCTGAGCTGTCGGCACAGAGCCCAACATGGGGCTTGAACTCACGAACCGTGAGATCATGACCTGAGCCGAAGTAGGACGCTCAACTGACTGAGCCATCCAGGCGCCCCTGATTTTTCCTTTTAAACAAAACATGTCTGTGCTAGCTTCAGTATGTATGCATGTACATGTGCGTCCATGTGAGTGGGGGCAGCGAGGAGCTGCGACATGAGGAAGAAAAGAAAAGCATGACAATGTGATAATTAGGACAGAGGGATTCATGAAGGCTTTAAACATGTATTTGTAGACATGGGTAAAGTATCATTAAATTGGTTTTCCCAAGCAAATCTTTGAAGTTCAAATCTCTCTGCTGTGGGTGAACTGCACAGAAAGTGAATTATATGTCAATAAAGCTGTTTAAAAAATCTCTAGGGGCACCTGGGTCTCTCTGTCTCTCAATAATAAGTAAACGTTAAAAAAAAATTTTTTTTAAATCTCTGTATTTCAGCTCTTATATTTTTGGCTAAGAGAAAAGGAAGAACTAATGCATTCTAGATGCTTCCTACATGCTGAATCACTGCACCAGACACGTCAGTTTCTAATCCTCACTCAAACTCAGCTAGATGGCTATTTTGCAGGAGAGAGAGCTGAGTTTGCAGAGGATTTATAGCTCATCCAAGGTCACTTAAGAAGAGGTGTGACCGGGCGTTAGTGATGATTCCAAAACCCAGCTCTGGAATACAACAAAGATGCTACTGAATATTTAGGCTTCAGTGTTCAACAATTCTGCAAAGCACACTTACAAGATGAAGAGATCCTGCTTACTGACGGCATGTTCTGAGAATATTTTAAGCACACCACTTTATTTTGTAGAGGGGTCAATGTGGTCATAAATAAGACAGACGAGTGTATCCCAAGTCCATTTATACATGTCCTACCACCTGGGCAAACAGAGGAATCTTTTCTAACAACTGGCTACATGCTATAGGCAAATGTTTTCTTTTTGGGGCTTCGTGAAGATGATGATAAGTCTTTTCACGACAACTACAGAGTCACCAAGCTGGTCAGTGGAAGGCGCAGAAGGCTACGCGTGCTCTCTCTGATACATCACTGGCTCAGGACATCTACGTATGCTCACGGTGACCACATGTTAAAATGCAACCAGACACAGGTGCCTCTTCCCCATCCCAACAGGAGGCAAGGCCTGGGACTCTCTGGGGGTCCCCTGAACCCGAGAGCCTGGCGACTTGTTTTTGGTCTGAAGGAAGCCGCACGCAGGACAGCAGGCCCTGACTCCTCCCCTGTGTGGCCAGCTTAAGGAGAGGCCTTCTCATGAAACGCTTTAATGAGGATAGGGATTTATGAAGTGAAAAACACTGACGAAGCAGGCTCCTCAACTGTGAGCCTTTAGAAGGTATCTATGGTTCATGTAGCCTAATACATTTACAAGAGAGGTGTGCCCTTGGCCTTTGGTGACTGGAATAGACTGCTTTTGTTTTCCCCAATAATTTGGACAAAAACAATTTGGAGAATGTCAGTTTCTGGCTTTCCATAGCATTCATTGTTGCACAGTATGAGGTCAGAGCTAACGCTTAATAAACATGGATTTTTCCTAAATAGCCGAGGAATACTAAAATTCTAGGTAAGAGACCTAAAGATACAGTCCTCGCAATGTGTACCATCTAGTTGCCAATGTTCAATTTGCTCAGCTCTTCAGTGATTATACTTTGCAAAAGTAAATGAGGGGTGCCTGGGCAGCTCAGTCAGCTTTTGACTTCAGCTCAGGTCATGATTTCACGGCTCGTGAGTTCGAGCCCCACAATCGGGCTGTCTGCTGTCAGCAAAGAGCCCACTTAGGATCCCGTCTCCCTCTCTCTCTCTCTCTGCCCCTCCCGCCTCGTGTGTGTGCATGCTCTCTCTCAAAAATAAATAAACACTTGAGGGGCGCCTGGGTGGCGCAGTCGGTTAAGCGTCCGACTTCAGCCAGGTCACGATCTCGCGCTCCGTGAGTTCGAGCCCCGCGTCGGGCTCTGGGCTGATGGCTTAGAGCCTGGAGCCTGTTTCCGATTCTGTGTCTCCCTCTCTCTCTGCCCCTCCCCCGTTCATGCTCTGTCTCTCTCTGTCCCAAAAATAAATAAACGTTGAAAAAATAAATAAATAAAATAAAAAAAATAAATAAACACTTGAGAAAAAAAAAAGTAAATGGAAACATTTCACGGATGTTTTTTAAGAAGCCCCCAGGCAGTTCTCTAGAGATGTGCTTGGTTTCATTTTACTGTATACACATTTCTCCTTCATGGTTTTTCCAAGAGAGAGGAAAGGGGAGAGAAAAGGAGTGAAGAGGGGAAGGGCAGGCAGGGGAGAGGAGAAGAGAAAGATTTTCCCTTGAAAATTATTCAGGTATTTTTCCTCCTCGACTTTCTTTACACCCCTCCCGAGGCTTTAAACACAGCTCTTATAAAGTTAAAACTGGTGGGGCGCCTGGGTGGCGCAGTCGGTTAAGCGTCCGACTTCAGCCAGGTCACGATCTCGCGGTCCGTGAGTTCGAGCCCCGCATCAGGCTCTGGGCTGATGGCTCAGAGCCTGGAGCCTGTTTCCGATTCTGTGTCTCCCTCTCTCTCTGCCCCTCCCCCGTTCATGCTCTGTCTCTCTCTGTCCCAAAAATAAATAAACGTTGAAAAAAAAAAAATTAAAGTTAAAACTGGTGGCTCTTCTAACTTTTTCAGGTTGCCCAGATTTTCTAAGGACATGAAGGGAAAAAGCAGGCTCATGCTAAGGAGGATGGTAGAAAAAACACTGGGTACCTGAAACAGATGTGTGACCTCTTATGATGATTTACTGACCTGTCTAGCAAATGATGATCATTTCAGTTGCTTCCAGCCGTCAAACACCAGGAAAAGTATTCTTGAGTTTCTATGAAGATCGGAATCCAACCCTACCCTCCAATACCCCAGCACCCTCACGGCCATGCCACCCTCTTTCACTAATACATAGGCCTGTCCTAATCACAGCAAGCTCTTCATTATCCAGCATTGTAGGAAAGACTTGGTCATTCAAATGTCATGGTAAATAAGTTAGCATATATGCCAAACATAAGCATGTACATACTCGTTACCAAATTTTTACTAAAAGCAATTTAATCGCTTTTCAGGGATTCAAAGAGTACCCTATGATTTTAGAGTATTTTGGGAGCATTGTTATGAGTTTATGAGTACACTGCCTATGTGAAATGTCTATTGGTAGAATACCTGTTAGAGAAAGCTGAATTTTCTAAGTCTTTAACACCACCTGATGCTGCATTCAATTGAACAAACACAGAATGCATTATAACTTCTTGCACACATCTTCAAAGGTTATAGAAATTGGAACTAAGCCATTTATTCCAAGTTTCTATCTAGTAACAGATTTTCTTTGTTTTTTTTTAACCGAATTTCCCATAAAAATCCAAATAATCTGGATCTAAAAGGTGTCATTTCTTTTTTCTTTTTCATTTTGTTAAAAAAAAATTTTTTTTTTAACGTTTATTTATTTTTGAGACAGAGAGAGACAGAGCATGAACAGGGGAGAGTCAGAGAGAGGGAGACACAGAAT